ATCCAATAGAAATGCCGTCAGTATGGTGAAGAAAAGCTTCTGTCAGCATTGCTGAGAATATCATTCTAAAAGGTGTTGGAGCTAGAACACAGCCTTGTTTTACGCCGTTAGTTACAGGAAAAGCCACATACTCATCTCCTGAGTCCATCGCCAATCATGGATTTGACGAACTATTGTAATAAATCAACTGGGGCATCCAAACTTCTTCATTATCTTCTACATGTCATATCTACTGACTAATTTAAAGACCTTGGTCAGATCAAAAAATTAATTTATAAATACATGTAATGAATTTATATATATACATAAATATATATAAAAATATATATATATATATATATATATATATATATATATATATATATATATATATATATATATATAGATATATATATAATCTCTCTCTCTCTCTCTCTCTCTCTATATATATATATATTTATATATAACCTCTCTCTCTCTCTCTCTCTCTCTCTATATATATATATATATATATATATATATAATATATATATACAGTGTCCGGGAAAAAGGGACCCATTTGATAATAATTGATCTATTGAGAAAGTCTTGAAGTCTGTGTTGAAGCTGATGTTTGACATTACGAACACAAACTATAGTTTAATAACATTTGACATTATGCAAGAAATATAAATCATTTTTAGTGTATATACATTAATTTTAATTTGTAACCATTTATTTTAATTCACATGACACCAACATTATTTTTTTTTAAGGGTCAGGATAGCACAGACAGTTGTTTTTTTAATTGGACAGCAGCCCAATTCGGTACTTTTTAAACTCAGTTTCTCAGTTCAATAAATAAATTGGAATGATTCGGAAGTTTTTTTGTTCTGTTTTGTTTTTAACATTTAGGAACTTTTATTACTGAAATTCGAATGTAATATTCTGGTGCGTGCTGTCAAAACTTCCAACACTTCCGTACCGGGTACAGTAAATTCCATTGACCAATCTTCAATATACATCAGTCCAGGGGACATAATCAAAAATAAATTCCCTAGTCATACGATGAGCGAACGATTAGTCGTTACTTGTGCCATCTAGTGTCTAGTCCCCACGTCATGTGACCTACACTGTGCTGTTAGGCAGGGCTGGATTCATTAATGTATACCTAATCCACCCACAGCCCTCAATCTAATAATACTTAGAACATTTTAAAACATATTTAATTATTTAAAGAGTAGGCCCTACATTTTTGTATATGATCAACTACTACCGGCGTAGCAAGTTCCGGAAGATAGTGCCAATTATTTCTGTGTAGGCCTCTCACTAGATGCCTGTATTTTTCTCTGTCGTCCCCTTTAGAACGTTGGGCAGCTGTTTAGACGAGTCCCACTGTTACACACTTGAGGTTTCCTTCTTCAGCTATCAGACCAACACCACTGGGATGTCCATGCCTTACACAGAGGAAGCATGTATCCTTTCATGACTTGGACCAATCAGAATTCATTCCAAATAAATTAACTAGCTGAACTGATACTTCTCTCTTAAGAATTTTTTTAACTTAATTTTAAAAGTACAATTCAATAAGTTTGGGTGCATATCAAAGGAAACTATGTTTTTCTTTTATTTTTATAAACTAAACACAATTACAAGTTTATTGGCATAAAAATGCAATAATTAGTAATTATTTTTGTTTAATGACACACCAAGTAACAAAAACAATCCAAGTGAAGTAGATGTTGTCATACAGAGTAACACTGCTCTCACATTTTATTAGCCTCATACAAAAAGACTTTCATTTTACCACCACCCACAAAGTATGACATACTGCTCACCATTAGCTAAGAAGACACACATAGAAAGAAACTACCCAGCTACTTTAGGGTCAGTCAGTGAGAAGCAGGAACCATTCACATATCGGCCTTCTTTTCTAGAATGAGAGTCCCGTACTATTTATCTCCTATGAAGTCACCATCTTATTTCAATCCATCATTGGCTTTAGTTCAAGCCCATAGATTTTAACTCCTTTAATTTTTTATTTCAATCTCTTTAACTAGACTGAAATCAGTCCACAACTACACAGCATTTTTATTATAATTATACATAGACAGGCGAGCCTCATTCAATGCAGTTATGAAAATATACCTCAATCTTCAAACAAAAAATCAGATGGATTGTTATTAATTTGTAAAGAAATCATCTGTTTAGAAATTAGAATATAAATTGAATTAATGGAAGCACATCTCCTTCACTTTGTTATACCTTTAACATTTATAAGATTCAGCTATTCACAGGGTTGGATATTTTTAAGCATGCGACAAAAATGTTTGTCCTTCCCAAAAATACATGTTTTTTTCTATTCTTGTTATAATTGTTTTCATGTCAAGTAAATATAAAGACCCTTTTGACAAAAAGCCACTAAATACTATGGTCTCCCCTCTCAAAGTTAGATAAATTATTAATTAGTGGTTAAATTAGTTTAGCTTACCACAGTGTGTTTTTAATTAGATTTCTTCTCAAATCTTCCCATCTCAACTTTTATGCAGATTTTGATGACCATTTAATATGAATTTAAATGGATTAACCCGAGTATTGAATTAATTGTTTATTAAATGTCATCTAAATTTTAACATTCATCAATGCAATGTCAATCAAACTGAGATTTCTTAACTCTTGAGTTTAAGACATGAAACTAGGTCGAAATGTAGCACGCACTTTCCTAGACTACTACAAACTGATGGGGTACATCAGCGTCAAGCCAAGCAGTAGCATCATACCCAAGTCCATGGGGCCTCCGGTACGCAGTAGCACAGATAAAAGCAGCGCTTCAGAGAAGCAAGTGACAGAAACAATGGCCAAAGGAGATACAGTCTTTAATAATAAGTAAGCCTACCAGCTTTAACCGGTCTTTAATAATAAGTTAGCCTACCAGTTTTAACCGGTCTTTAATAATCTTGCAGCCTACCAGCTTTAACCGGTCTTTAATAATAAGTAAGCCTATCAGCTTTAACCGGTCTTTAAAATAAGTAAGCCTACCAGCTTTAACCGGTCTTTTATAATAAGTAAGTCTACCAGCTTTAACCGGCCATTAATAATAAGTAAGCCTACCAGCTTTAACCGGTCTTTAATAATAAGTAAGCCTACCAGCTTTAACCGGTCTTTTATAATAAGTAAGCCTACCGGCATTAACAGGTATTGTTGAAAAACAATTAGAAGTACAAAGGTACCGGTACAACAGAACACTAGATATAAAATATAAATTGCACCAGTGTCTCAAATGTAATAAACTTCTGAAACCATGGGAAGACAAATATCTTAGATTCAACTTACATTGAGGCAACTTTAATCACAAACAATATTTGTTCATTATCAGGTAACTTTGGATCAAATGTCATGTTATTCTACTATAAATTTCATAAAGTGAGGTATATATTTTATCTTCAAATTACCAGTACCATAATTGTAAAACCTATTAAAACTGAAACACTAAATTTCATTTTTGAACGTAATGTGTTACGTTAGATGATTAGTGTTGCCATCTTAAATAAGCCAAAACCTCTTAAAAATTAGTTTAGTATGTCCACCTCTGATTCCCACCAACCTTTTATTCTGCCATTTTGTTTTTGCAAAGTTTGTGCTGTTCCTGGAATGTGGTACCGGTACACCAATGAAATTGGAGACATTATTCTGTTTAAACTGACCGAACAAGCAAATCAAATAGAGTAACAATGATGCCCTTAATGAATTTATTTCATTGAATTTCTACATTAAATCATTGACAGCCAAAATGTGATAGTCTAAAATAAAAAGTGAAGGAGTTAAGAGTTTAAAGGGAGTTACCTCTAACCAATGTACACTCATGTTGAAATAGAGTAATAATTTTATTTTTATGTTGCCTTATACTACACTTAATTACCTGAAATTTTCTTCTTTTTTTTTTAAAAAATCTCTCAGCAGAAGTGATCATAGTCGAGAAGAACGTTTAGGTCGCAAGTCAACAGATTACCAGTTAAGTTCATCCAATGGTTTCACAGAGCTGCCTGCTTCTATGCGCATTCAACGGGATGGTCGACAATTATAAACCAAAAATACTAGTGTATGTATATTTTACATGCATAGCAATGTAAAGCAATTGAAATCTGAAAAGTGTAAAAGATTCCAACATTATTTTCCATTAAAAAGAAGGAAAGTATGTGACTGCATCATTTTCAAAAGAACTGAGCACAGTGTAAGGCAGCAAGCCATCATTCTGTCCATCTTATCCACTGAGTCACCACAGACTTTCAACAAGTAAAAGCTTTGTCTTGTGTCACTTTTCAGAGATCCAGTTTTAACCTGACTTTGTTAACAAAACAAATTTTAATTTTGCCAGTTTGATTAATGAATATGTATCCTGTACAGTGTTCCCGTTTACCAGATATTCTTCATGTATATCTATTGGTTGATCTATTACCTGCTACTCAGACTATTAAATATAGGCCTACAGTACATAATCTTCCCAAGCCAGACATAATGGAATTTTTAATACCAGACTCTATACACCCACCAAACCCCCCCCCCCCCCCACACACACACACTGTCACTGTTTTACCCACCCTAATATTTTTTTTTCAAAAATTCTAAATATGTAAATAATAACACTCTGTCAGCCATAAAAAAATATCTGCACAATACTAGCAAATCCTAAAGTAAAAGCTTCTCACTGGGTGCAAAGGTTGACTTGATGGAACTTTAGGCTGTGTAAATTTGTTGAATCAATTTTAATCTGCATAAGAGTCATCAACTGTCATCGTATTGTTTCCTTCCCTTCGATTTCTAGACCTTTAAGTCTGTTCTAATTTAAAGCTATATCGTTGCCCTAGAATATTTTGTGTCCAACAATATAACCGAACATTAGTACCCAATATTATAACATATCACTAATATGATAGTAATAGTACCAGTGGTAGAGAAATTTACTATTAGAATGATATCAACTCTCAAATCAGTGGCACAGACTAAGTCATTTTATTTTATGTTATACTAAACAGGAACATAGCATGAAATAAAAGTGTCTTAAATTTATAATCCTCTTGGTGGACACACCTGCTATTGTTTAATGGATCTTTTCATTCAATGGTTAACAACTGATCCTACAATTGCTTTCAATTTCAAAATTCCAACAAATTCAATCTATTAATTTACTCATACATACGTTAAAGTTGGTGATAGCATTACTAGCACATAATTCATTGGTCCATAATTCTGCTCTCTGACCTCTGTACCCAAACAGTTAAATAGTTTGTGGAACATTTTTTTATCATTCATTTAAAGAAAATAAATCTCCAATTGTTTCTCACTCACTTCTAACCCTTAGTCACAACTTAACTCGATCTTGGTGGAGAGGCAAAGCATGTGCATCAGGTTTTAACACAGCACTAAACAAGGAAAATGTTGCTTATTTTTTTACAACTGACAAGGGACATACTCTCTCATAATGTGTCAAATATTTATCTTACAATTACCACTGAGTTGGCACCACAGATTGTTGACAATGACTTATTAGTAACTGGTTTATAAGTCATGAACATTTCAATTTATTTTTTCCTGTTTTTAATCATTTTTTTAGCAAAGAGAATTTAACTTATTAAATTATACGGTAGCTTATAACAAACAGTATCCATAATTTTATCTTCAAATGTTTGCACATAGTGTCCTCTCAAGTGCTCTAAATTAAATACCGTTATTTATTAAATTATAAATAATTATTAATATCTGATATAAAGATACACAGAATTTCAAGTCTTATGCTCATGACATTTTGGGATGATAACTTTATTTTCATGTCTTTATGTATATCATTTTTTTTTTATATGAACGTGGATAAAAATAATTCTTCAAGAGTTTGAGGTATCTGGTAAATATCTTTACTATCATATGTAATGTAATGAGTTTCATTTCTTGAACTAGTGACAGACATGATTTAACCCTTTTTTTTTCTCAAAATGTGTTATGTTTGTTCATAGAGAACTGCCAGTCATGAAACATTAAATTAATTTTATACTGTATTATGATTTTTTAAAATTATAAAATATGTAATAGCCCTTATACAACTGTAAAAAAAAAATAATTTTAAAAAAATAAATTTTTTGAAATATCAAACTTGTCTATCTCTTCTTTGTAACAAATTTTTATTTTTCACATGAAACTGAAACCCAACAAATAGTTTTTTATGCACAAGGGGTGTGCCTAATGTCTTGTGCTCTTTAACATGGAAACCTGTTTTTAAGTCAAAAAGTAAAATAAGCATGCATGCATATGAAAGGAAACTATGTGTTTTCTTTTATATACTAAACACAATTCAAATTTTATTGGCATAAAAATGCAATAATTATTTATTTATTTTTAATGACACACAAAGTAGCAAAAACAATCCTAGTGAAGTAGGTGTTGTCAGACAGAGTAATACTACTCTCACATTTTATTAGCCCCATACTTAAAATACTTTCATTTTACCACCATCCACAAATTACGACATGCTGATAATTTCTTTAATTTCAATTGTCTTCATGTCCTACAAGTGGACTTTTGTTTCAGTAAATCTTTTCTGCTTTTAATGGTAATAATGCTAATAATTTTAATGGTGTTTTTGGAACATTAAAATATTTTAATTGTATTTTTGAAATGTTTAAAAGATAAAAACTGCTAATGGAAATAAATTAAATTATATAAATTCAAGGAAATTAGGGCTATCTTGTTGATTACCAGTGAAGGTAAAGTTGATAAAACAATAATCAATATTTCTCCACCATTCATAAAGAACAATTAAAACTAAATGTTGCATTACAATTATTTATTATATCACACAATTTTTAACAAGAGTAATATAACTGAATCATCTATAAGAAGTATTATTTTCAGATTTAATAATTCAGCTCCATTCCCACCTACTTTATTGATTTCACTGTAACTGTGTCTTAGTGTCGCCAACAAATTTTGTGTGTCGCCCTTGTGCAATAAGCTTTCCTGTTTCTTTGTTAAGTATATCCACAGAGCTGACTGCAAGTCGACTGCCACAGCTTAAAGTACTTGCTGATATAACAATAACATCATCCAGTTTAACTGGTCTCATGTAGCTATAAAAATTTTAAAAAGATTTCAGCTTTAACATTAGAATTCATGAATAATTACAAACTGCTAATTGCTAAATACTTAAAACTCTAACTATAATGCATACATTAAAGTTTGATTTAACTATAGTTTAAACATACAGCAATATAATATCAAATAAGGAGCCATCAATATAGTACATATGCCACAAAAAAGTCCCAATTTTTAATCCCCCCCCCCCCCTCGTTGCACGCATACTTCTGTGAACCCCTCCCTCTTATGCATACATACAATGAGCTTTCAAACCCACGCCCACAAAAAAAAAACACCAACAAAAAAAGTATTTATAGATAATTATGCTATCACAGTAAAAAATGTGTCACAGGTTTTCACTGCTGCCTGTTCCTAAAAGATGTCACAAGTCACCCAGGGAGCTACATTGCCTTTAGGCAGGGCCATGAGATGGGGGCACTTGCCCAGGATGGATAGGACTTAAATTGTGAATTAAACTGTGCAGTTGGTGAAATACATACGTGTTACATTTATTTTTACCCTACCCTTTATAATTTATTTTTTTAATGTATTCGCTATTGCGAAGTGTACGTGTGAGAATTTAACAACCTAAATTTGGTAAGGGCACTGGGAATCAAAAACATTTAGGAATTACTGGTGTAGCAAAATATATTACATCACAGGCAGGTGGAACATATGGTGAACTAAATATTACTTTTTCTACTATTACAGAGGCAGCCTAATATTAGTGTATCTAGCGACTTATCTTTCAAAAACACAAGGCGATTTTATGACGTTATTCCTACAAAACATTGTGTAATATTTTTAAAGTCTTATATTTAGATATTATTATATAAATATGATATTTATAAACTGCTAAGAGTTTCAAGAAAATTATTGCAGAATTTGTGAATAATTGTACATACATTCTGCCTATAAAAGGCCCCCCCCCCCCTTTTTTGTACATACTATATGGATGTCCCCTCAGGAAGTTAATTGTGAATTTCTAAAATTTTCCTCTGATGACTTATGGATAGAACCAATTACCTCTAAATGTTCTAACTGTTATAATGTGGATTGATTGAGTACTCCATAAAATTTTCAGCTGCAATCTCACTAAATAGTGAAGTATCATCTCTGTTGAATATCACTGTCTAGGAGTTAAAAATACTTACTGTAAACTTTAACTACAAATCTTGTATACATAAGAAATACCGGTATAAAACTAATGTTTCAACTTCTGTCATTTGTTCTGAACATCACTCCACAAAAGACTACAGACATCTAACAGCTCACCAAATCGCTGATAAAGTTGTATGGAGTATGGAAAACAAAATCATGTCATCAAAATAAAAATATAACATCAAGGTTACTGCTACTTTTGGAGCATCATTCACAAATCTAAAATAAATGGTTGAAGTGTGTAATCCTTAACAATCTGGCTTTAAAACTGATTAGCTAGGTAATTTAGGTGTAGCAGACAACAATTCAATTATGCCATGTCAACTTACCTAACATTGAGATCAATGCTGCTACCTGGTCTTCCAGAACCCGTAGTGGTCAATGCGTAAGTAGATACTGCATCTACCAGGGAAGCGATCACCCCTCCATGCAGGCTTCCTGTAGCATTTAACATTTTAGAGCTGATTTTCAGTTCACAACAGCAAAGTCCATCACCTCCAGAAACTACTTTGATCTGAAATTAACATACTGAGTTAGAATAAAATCATGCATGACTATATATATAAGTCTTTAGCCTTAATAAGTCTAGTAATTGAATGGTAGGTCCTGTTACATTGATAGTTAATTAATAAAAAGTTATAATCATACATCTGGTATGTTATTAAATTTACAAAAATTAAGTTTATATTTAAATACCAATATATGGCCTGTTACTGTTAACCACCTTGTATAATATTAGTATAATATTAGTATAATATAGTATAGATTATAGGCTTTTACGGTTGCAAGTAATAGCCTAAATGCATTTATTATGTTACTTTTAATTCATAAGGCTTTTGGGAAACTCATCATTGATCAGTTCATTGTATGATTGTGCCAAAGGCACAAGACTGTCTTGAGGTGTGAAGTGAAGGAAAAACAAAGAATTAAATTGTCTTAAATTGATAATAATACATAATACCTTTAGTCTAATCTCATAGACAAGGGAATAAAAGGGTTAAAACTTAAAACATTATCAATAACCAGGGCCTAATAACTGAAAGTATAATTTGTTTCCAAGAAATGCTATTAAAATTAGGGAACCTGAGATCCATTCATATTCATATTATTGTATGGATATTCATTCTACTAACTACTTCCTCTATAAAATGCCTAGGCATGAAAAGGGTATACTTGATCCTGAATCATGGACTACAGTGCTGGCCTAGTCATGTAACAAACTTTAATCATATTCATGTCCTCTAGCCCCGCAAAAAAAAAAAGGGGGGAGGGGGGCGAAAGGCAAGGGGAGGGCAAAACTCTGAAATTTTTGCAAGTGCAAGGTAAACAAGCTTATCCGCCCGCACAGGGCCTAATTCTAAAAAATGTGGAGAGTCGAGTACACACTCAACACTGCACTGACAGTTAGAATTTCTCTAAAATATTAATTAAGTCAATTACAATTTCTTTAATAATATAAATTAGGCTAGCATTAGTAGCAATGACGGCAGATTAAAAAAAAAAATTAATTCTGCTACACCTTTTCTGTTTCTTCAGTCCTTCTTATTCAATGAGTACTGTCTTAAATAGTAACTTATTCTTAACTTCTTCACCTTGTCTGTTCGAATAAAGTTTCAAATCCTTGTCCTTTAACGCGATCCGCAACAAGTCGTTTCAATGCATCCAAGGCAAGTCTTCCTCCGGTTTTCATTGACATATTGTATTTTCCAGGCCAAGAAATTAAAAGGTATACTGATACTAGCTGGAGATCTACATTGTTACCAGTTCGTCGACAGGTTTATTTGTTTTGCGCTTTCTGACTATTACTCCCTACTCCATGCTTTTAACACTATTTAGTGCCACTTTGTCAGTATAAGTGATTTATGATAATAAAAAAATATGTATTTTTTTTTTTTAAACATTTTACAAAAATCAAAATAATCAAATACGTTTAAAGTTCTATGATGCGTAATTAATTGTGAATTATTTCAAATCATGAACCTGCTAAGACAAAGCCTAATTATTTTTTAACGCAAATAAAATCTGGCAATGACATGTCATGCGAACTGCGAATCATCGCATAATCTTTTCATGGTTGTACAAAGTAAAGTAGTACTGGATGTACTACCGGCGGTTATATCATATATGTTTTGTAACTATTTCATTTATTGTGGAAGAAGAAGCAGATGAAAATATGGAATAATTGGGATCGAATAATCTACAAACAACTACTCTCCGGTCAGTCCGGATTAATTCATTTTGTTTATATTCAAATGTATAAAGTATAAGGAATAGGCGTCTAGGCCTAGGTGAAGTCGCCGAAGTAGGCCCATACTATTGCTAGTATTAGTAGTATACTATACTATGTGGTGTCTTGTAAAAAAAATGTAAATTAAATAGTAATTTAAGTCTTGTAATTATTAATATTAATTGTGTTTTTTATGTGACTTTATTATTATTTGTTAAAGTTCACTTTTTTTAAATTTTAGTAGTAGGCTATAGTAGGCCTAGGCTAGTATGCCTATGCCTATACTAATAAAAAAAACTTAGTCTATCTATACTATAGTCTACTATACTATACTATAGTATATCTAAACTCTAGAATAATATAGCCCTACACTTGTTTTAATAATAAGTCTACTATTACTATTAGTTTATTTAAATCAGGAAAGAGGAGATGGCAAAGGAAGGTTGGAAAGTCACTAAATCAAACTCAACTGAGGTAGCCTACTCAAGCTCAGTGTTATTAATACTAATAATAATACTTTTACTATTTCTGAAATCATTATTAATTAATCCATGTATGGATTGGGTTATCGGAAAGGCATGGAGGTTCCCCAGGTCAACTATTGGCCATAGTTCAATATGTCAAAAGCTTTCCTTTGGTAGCTCTGGACTCTGGAGTGTAAAATTGTTTATTTGATATAACTATATGTTTTTTTCTACACATTTTTTTGTTTTTGTCTTGAAAAAAAAGAAGGGGGGAGAAAATCGTGGTGAAATGAATGGCAACCTGTACTGTGTTGGGGTATGAGCAAGTTTTATTTTCCTTATTAAAGCAGACCTGCCAACCCTTCGCCTTCCGATTTAGTCGGAATTATACTGATTTTTTTACCCCGACAAACCCCTTAAAATTCCAATTTTTCTAACTTTATAATTTTCACTCGTCATAAAAATGTGAAAGCGACAACAAAAAAACTGGTACGACAGGAAGTGTAGCATTTGTTTTTACGAAGTGTCTACATGAATAAGTGAATAAGTTCTCAAGATATTTGTCCGGCCACTATTATATATTTGACCAAATCACATGAACAGCGCAACAAAGTTGCACAAGATATTTGTCCGTCAGTCTTGTCATGTGACCACTAATTGTCACTAAGAGTTTACGTTACTTCATTTTAACAAATTCAACATATTCTGAACATTTACATGAAAAAGAAATATGTTCAATTTTACAAAAGAATACTAGAACCATTGCTGGTATATATAATTAACACTTGGTTAAAAAGTGACAATGTTTTATATAAAGCGTGGCATGCCCAACCAATGAATATCTCCTGCACTATTTGTCCGGTCGCCTGACGCATAGACACTGACTTGTTTTTAGCGAACCGAACTGCAATCTCCAAATCATTCTTAAATCATCAATTAATCCGATCGTGATTCATCCTATTTTACAAGGCTAAAAAATAAAGCTACTCTTAATTAAATGGTTAAATCGATTGAAAGTGGTGGGTACAATGATATAAATAAACATATAAAAATATTTTAACCCCAAAAAAAAAACATACAACTGCAGCTAAAAGTAAAAGTAATCCATGTCTAGTTAAAAGTTTCTTTGCTAAGGAATCGGACGATTCAGTTATCAGATCTTTTTTTTTACCACCTTAATATTGACGGAAATATTTCTCTAGCCAACTCTGATCGTTTTAATGTCAGAGTCAAAGAAATGTTTTCAGACTCGCAGATTGCTAGAAGATTGTGAAGAAAAATTACAATGAAACAAGAGCAAGTATGAAAGCTGATACTCTTTCTAACTTGCTTGTAACTAAAATCAATTGCAATGGTAACCTTCACATGTCCAAAGAGCTGTTGGACAAGTGCAAAAGGGCACTGGTGATATACTGGAAAACTGAACTCTTAACAGCCTGTGTACACATGGTAAATAAAATGGATCTTCTGTCCTGTAATGTATATATCTGTATATAAACATTTCCAGTAATTTTTTCTCATGTTCTGTGGGCTCTTCAAAGACTATGGAGATAACTTTATATTTCTTTATTTACTAAAAATGGTTTGGGAATTAGTTTATAGATCTTAAACCAGCGTCTGCGCCCCCCACCTTTGCATGCTCCGCCCTACAGATTTTTTTTTCTTGGTAGGTTGGCAGGTCTGTTAAAGACTTTTTTATACTCACATTTCCATCTTGTTTGATTTTTGTCTTTTTTTTTTCGTTGATACTGGTACACAAGGTTGGTTCATTGTCTGTCTGTTTGGCCTGAGATGATGACACATAGTTATAGCTCCAAAACGCAGCATGGAGAAGAGGGGTGAGGTAGTGAGAGAAAGAAGAAAAGGTTATTTTAAAAGAAAAATCCTACCACTTGCATTTTGGAAATTAGACTGTCAATAAATTCTACTTTCTATTTGTAAGCCTTAGTAAGCAGCTAAGTCACTTTAACTGGGGTTTTGTATGCATTCAATGTTAATGAAAAATTAAACTTTTAAAAAAGACTTTCTTTTGAAGACAAGTTTAAGCGAACAAAAAAAGCGGAAATAATTTTTTTAAATTTATTCAAACATATTTTAGTTTATTCTACATTTAATTGGATTCCTTTAGCTTCATAGAGTGCAGCACTACCCTTCTGCACATACTAGCATAGTGAATTTTAAGAAAATTGTTTTTTATTTTTTAGTTTGCTTTTTTTTTTTAAGTTTAATTTTTTAATATTTATTTTGAACTAAACCTTGTAAGTTGAATTTTTTTTTTTTTAAAGAATGGCACATGTCATTTTAGTATATTTTATTTTAACTTTATTGATCATCAGGTTTAGTTTATGATGCCAATAATGATCAGTGAAGAGCAGGAAAGTTATCACACGCAACTTTATCTGTCAAGTCCAACATTTGATCTATTCACCTTAAGTCCATTGTTGGGATTCCCCAAATTGGTGTCACTTTGTTAGGGTGAGAAAATTCTTGGCAAAACACATACCGCTAACCAAATCTTTACCCCATGGCCCATAGGCCGTTATGACTTAATTGGGTCAAGTTGGGTGTGAATATTTTAGTTTGATACATATCAGAGAACATTATTTAGAGATAGCAACATCTTTGTGAAAGTCAAAGAGTTTTTGGAGTAATTCAATAAGTATTGAGTATTATAAAAGAGGACATGTGCAGTGGAGGAGATTTTATGCTCTTGAGAAGTGGGGTCCTTTCCATGAATGGAGCCTTATGAGGGGAGAAGAGACATTATTGGGACTGGCTGACCAAAGTGAGATGTATGTGAATTTGTGAGAAAATAGTTATGTTAGAGCCAGGATAGTTTTACATAAATGTTGTATCTGAAATTCTCTACAGGTTGCCGTTGAAAAAAAAAAATTTTTAAGAAATTGAAGCAATTTTATTTTTTGTTTCAGAAGTTGTAAATTCACTTTCACCATACATCATGAAGTTTAAATGGCAGTACTTTATCAAACTATTTGGACTTAAACCAAAGAATCCACCATCTGGTGTTTATGTAAGTGTTAATGTACCGGTACCTAAGAGGAGGAAATTGTCATCAGGACTGTCAAGGCATTCAACCAAGGCTGTTATTAAAGTTAGCATTTGGACTTTAGTCACATTGTTGCTTGCTTTCCTTTTGATATACACAATTTTATTGGCATATGTTGACACACATCTTCACCCTTCCATAATAACTTCACCAGGAGTTTATAAAAAAGTAAAATTTCAAGGCAGATATTCTTTAGGAATACCAAAGCAAAAACCCAACAACTCCTTGACTATTAATATACTTGATGGAAAAAAGGTCAAGTCTGTGTGGAATTCCAGTTCATATTATCTGGAAAATGAACCTTTGCCAAATTGTAAATGGCAAACTATTTTTCGTGTTATTGTAGCATCTGCTGTTGAAAATACTGGTCGCAGGAAGGAAATAAGGAATACTTGGTGCAACCCTGAGAGGTTCTCCTCAATGCCAGACCATGCCTGGCATTGTATTTTCTTGGTAGGAAAGCCAGATAATGATGATTCTCTCTTTCTTCTCAACAAGGAAAAGATGCAGTATAACGATTTACTTGTTGGAAACTATGCAGATTCGTATCGGAATCTGACACTTAAGGTAATACATGGATTTAACTGGAGTGCAAACTACTGCCCTAGCTCTTACATTATCAAAACCGATGATGACTGTTTTGTCAACACAGGGCTGCTTCATGAGTTTCTGCTCCACCATAATGATAAAACTAGTGGTCTATATGCTGGTAGAGTATTTTTTGATTCTGAAATGTTGCAAGTTATTCGAGGGGATTCTAATAGATGGTCAGTGCCATATGATCAGTACCCAGATAAATTTTATCCTCCCTATGCCAGTGGTCTGGGGTACATAATTTCTACTGATGTGGTAAAGAAATTGGTGCATGAAAGTCAGTATGTGATTCCTTTTGCCAATGAGGATGCTTATATTGGAGTTGTCATGTCAAAGATAGGCATTAAACCAATAACCAGCAATAGGTTTTTGCTTGGCTCAACTGGATTGTCTCTCTGCAACTTCCGTTATCTTTTTATTGTTCATGGTGTTGAAAAAGACCAGCAATCTGTTTTATTAAGAAAGGCATTGGAAGCACCAGTCAGCTGTAATCGGCCACTTATAACATCCTGGAGCTAGGATTATTTTGAGGATTGAAAGTGTGAGTATGATAATCTATTCTTATCTTACTATGTTAATATATATGTAAAGTTTTTTTTTTTTCAAATATACCTCTCAATGATAAATTTTAGATGATGTTTAAGTTTACTTTTAAAAATGTTTATTGTAGTTTATTCCCTACTAAAAATTTAGTTTTAGCAAAATACTTATTGATGATTTATTCTTATATTTTTTTACAATTTTCTCTTTTCAGATTTCATTAATTTAAATGTTAATTTAAAGCACAAGTAATCTTTTCCCCACCGCATTTCTGAAAGTCAAAGATGTTTTGAGATTATAATTTGAAGTGCGCCAAAAGATAAAATTATTTTTAAAATGTATCTTCCATGTCTGAAATTTATCCAAATGGCAAATAACCTGAGAAGTTTATCGAGTATTTGACTATATGACCAAACCCACCACATTATTTGCTTGCAATGCCTTTGTGGAATGTTATTTTTATCTAGTCCATGATGTTAATAATCTGCATGAATAATCATGAAGCAATACAATATGCTCTAAGCTTTATAAGTATGTTATCTATACTACGCAGACAATTTTCTGAGTTTAATTTTACCACACCCATTGAGGTGACTACTACTATTGGCTTTAAAAAAATCTTTGCTTATTGTTGTAATTGTTTGCTTAGTTTATGAATGCATAAATTAACATGTAACTGTATATAGAAAATCTTATGCCCAGTAATTGTATTCCTGGGATGTTTATTTATTTGGACAAGCTTATACTGTTTTTTATTCAGAGAAAGAAAAAAAATTGCTTGACAATTTGTGAAGTTGGCCAGCCTTAATTTACTCATTATTTTTCTTAGTCACTGCCACTGTATATATGTATAGGAAGTATGCTTGAAGAATGTATGGCCTTTAATTATATGTTGTAACATGTATTTCAATTGTGGAAATTAGTTTTTCCTTAAAGTAAGTACCGACAGTAATATATGATTTTGGATGTCACAGATATTTTCTCTGTTGTTCTTTTATCTAGTTGTGAGCTCACTGTATTCACTGTGAAATGTTGTGAGCAGTTTTAATGTGTTCATCCGGTCTTTTGCATTTCATGTCTAACAAGGTTTTCAAAAAATATCAGATCTTTTAGACGTATGTTAAACACATAGTGGGTGTTGTTGAAATCATTTTTATCTACAATCATTTAGAGGGCAAGATACTATAGAAATTGTTAGAAAGGGAAAAGATGTTTAGAAAAGTATTATTTATCTGGTAGAGTGGTAAAATTTGTAAGAACCAATAAGTGAAACGTCATATACAAGTTAAGTGATTTAAGCAATGTGTATTGAGTATTGTATAAGGATAAAGTGTATTGTGCAATTTATATACTTCATATAAACTGTAGTTTTATATAAACCCTTACTTAATTAAATGTGATTGAGTTGTTGTTTTTTTTATTCCTTTGACAAAATTATTGTTCAATGCACAAATGTATAATTGATATTAAGACATACTCATATCTAGATGGGCATAAAATCTAAATCTAAGGGTAGAACAGAATTAAAGTTGACTTTGTGAATTGTACCAGTATGTTTGGCTAACATCTTGTAAATACACATTTGTTTTATTGTTTCTTGTGTTTGTGAAGTTTGAGTACTAGCTCATCTAGTATATTGAAACATTTCATCCAAAAAATGCATGGCATATTATATGTCGTTTTAAGTGACTCCTGTCAACTCGATTGCTGTACTTGACACCTTATCTGTAAATTTGTGTGGAAATTTCTTGAACTGAAATTTGTACGAAAAGAAATTTGTTCAGCGGAGATTCATTAGTGAATATTTTATTTTTAAATTATAAGTAATATAAGGGTAAGTGCAGGTGAGAAACAATGAAAAATTTTTAATATAAATTATTTTTGTTTAGATTTTTCTCATTATTTTATTTTGAACAAATTTCTTCTTACAAATTTCCAGTTGACATCATTTGACAACCATACTTGCTTTAAATAATAAGGCCCTGTTTCCATAGCATTTTCCTATAATTATGTTTACAAGTTTTTGATGTTTTAGAAGTGTCTAGAATGTATTCAATTTTAATTTATACAAGATATAGCCCGCCAAACATTGGCGACAGCAAACCATGAACTTCCGATCCACTAAAGTTACTTGACAAAAACGTGAACTCAAGTTACGCACATTTAAGAATGCCAATTTTGCTTAAACCCCCCCCCCCCCCCCCCCTCCTTTTCATGATACGTCACTGCACACTTTTTATTTCACGCCCATGAACTATATAAATATAGCCGCCCGCGGATTAGCATACACCACGAGCTTGTTGGGGTGTTTTCATGACTGGCAAGCGAGGCGGGGGGGATGGGGATGGCTCCACTGCAGTGCGCATGTCTCGACACCAACGATGGACAGGCAAGGGAAGGGAGGGTTTGCGTGCGTCTTGCTTGCTCTGACGTATCTATATATAGCCTGCATCGTCATCTTCTTGCCCTAGTTTCTGGCGTATTATATATATAGATTTGCTTTTTAATTTAAATTACTTGTGGGAATGTTTCAAACAGTCAAAGCTTTTGAAACTAATTTAAGTTTTATTGGAATGATAGGCCTAGTGTCAATAGAATGTATTGTTAATTTTATTTTTTAAAATTTTTATGTATGACTCCATGAGTTGCAACAATTATTGTTAAAAAGTATTAAACCAATAATTTTTAAAAATTTTAATTAGTGAAATTGAACATTGCTTATATTTTGTAATTGCTGTAAAGTAAATATGACAGATGGTATTAAGTAACATTTAATTAAATTGTTTTAATGCAGGTTATTCCTGGTTTTCATATAACAAATTTACTGTCTAATAATTTTCTTAAAGTTTAAGTTAAAGTTAAGGAAATAGCTTGTTAATGATGCTATTTTCTAATAGAGGTAAAAGGGGGGGGGGGGGGACGTCTGATCACCCCCTGACGCTGTGCTCTCATTCAATCTACCACAACAAAGTATTGCTTTACAAAAAAAATAATTTAAAGTTTAAGTTAAAGTTAAGGAAATAGCTTGTTAATGATGCTATTTTCTAATAGAGGTAAAAGGGGGGGGGGGGGGGGGGTAATTTCATGAGCTCAAAATCTGGGCATTCTTATATGGTTTGTTTAATACTTTAATAATCACATAACAGATTTAATATCAGATGGTAGCAGCTCTGAGACTCAAACATTTTGGTCAAAAGCCACTTACTATGCCAAGCTATATTTGTTTCTAAAATTATTTTCAATCAAAAGTATTTTCCTATTCAAAAGAATCCCTAGTCCACATCTAATATAACTATTACTATTAGCTACAACATTGTGTTTGAAATGTAGGAGAATATTTGTGTTAAAGACATTGTGAATAAATGTCAGTAATACCCCAATTATTTTTTAAAATGTAAATGTGATTATTGAATGAGCTACCTCCAAATAATGTTTTGAGTTAAAGTGCATATAAATTAGCCATTTTCACCTTGGTGTTTTTTTTGTGTAAAATTTATTGTGCTGTGTGATTAGGTGATATTAGTTAAAATACTTTTTTTTTTAAATATTGACATTATTAAAAAAAAATTTGTTAGCATAATAAAATAATCCATTCCTTGAACTTAACAAAATTTAGATTACACATTAACCAAAATTAATTAAACTATAATGTGTTCATGGGGACAGGGTTAAACCACAATAAGTCTGGATTATTGGCATCTTAGTGTATATTGCTCTTTTTAATTTGGTTGTAGGACTCCAAACTATTTCTAATTGCTTTCATTATGCATTCCCAAATTTATTTTTGCCATAAATTTCTCACAGCCAGGTCACATGGACATGATATTTTTATAATATTTAAAAGGTCCTAAGCAGCAGTTTTTTTAGGACTGACTACAAATGTTTCATTATATTTATATGTACCACTCACCACAGGCTAGTACAAGTATCAATATTTAACCTTTTGCAGCTGTGTGCAGTATTTGCCTTAAGATGATGGATTTCTATCTTAGCCTTAAGTAGCCTATTCCTATAGCATTATATAACACAACAGGGTCAAAGTCCACACTACACACCGATCTGGGCTATAACTATTTAAAACAAAATTAAATGAACATAATTTATACAGTATTATTTTTTTTTTGTTAATCAAGTAATTTAAACATTTCTGGAACTTTTGTTGAGAAATTCTTCTGACAACATTGTCTCAAATACTGTAACTATAATTTGAATTGATGTAATTGATGTTCTCTATTTTTTAAACTGTATCAAAAAATCTATACTTGATATGTGATATACATTTACCTTTTCGAATACTGTGTTGGATCTCTTTGAAGTTGAGGTTTTTGTCTAGATGTGCTATGGAGAACTATTGGTCTAAGGAAAATCAAGGCATAAGCTATAAACGTTGTGACCTGCTTGCACTTAATAGAGGTTTGATTTAATGATAAGACTCTAGTCTGGCAAAATGGGGCACAAGAGTTTTTCAACTATTTATTTTCTAAGGGCAGAAAATGTTAACATTCCTTTTTAATTCTTGGAAATAATTGCTAAGAATACTCCAAATTCAGATTGCATTGCTTCTGTTATGGATTTCACTGTATAACCTAGTCTTAGATTCTTGCCATATAGAATATAGCCATTAAATACCTGGTTATGTTAATATTTGTAATATTTATCAGTTAGTATGTTAATTTTAGCTGTGTTTGTTTACAAGAAATATAAAATGATGTATAACTTGACATTGATTTATATATATATATATATATACACACACACATACATATATTTTTTTTAACTACTGGGTACATAGAAAACATGACTACTATACTACCAGGACTATAAGAAAAGGTCTTATTGCATAAATATATTAATATATTACAAGGTAACTTTTTTAATACTTTTGAAGTATGTAGTTTTTTATAAATGGCTATTTGTCTGAAATAGGCAACAATAGAATTATTAAGGAAGTTAATTCATAATATAACAATTATTTCTTT